AGCAAGTGCCCATCCAAGCCACAAGCAGCCAGTTTTGCCAAGAGAATGCTGCGGGGAACGGTGTCAAAGGCCTTCCTAAAGTCAAGGTAGACAACATCATTATCTACAGACATTCCTACCAAAGTTCGTTTTCCACATAGCATCACCTCAACACAGCCTTTCCCTCATCCAGTAAGCAGGTTGCCCTGTCATAGGAGGAGATCATGTTTGTCAGACAGGACCTGCCTTTCATAAACCCATGCTGACTGGGCCTGATCCCCTGGTTGTCCATTATATGGCTTTTAATGGCCCCCGAGATGACCTGCTCTATGGCCTTCCCTTAACGTTTACTACAAGAGAAGATTCATTATTTTTAACACACTAAACCATACTGATCACAGAGAAAAGAGTGTAAATCTCGAATACCTTTATTTCTGGGTCTGCCAAGTCTATAAAAGATCTCTTTCCTTTACCAATAGGCTTTACTGTTACACCTTCCAGTACCCCACATAAGTGACAATACTAAAATAGCACTAGCCCTTGATATAGTACCACTGTATGTATAAGCTTGATACAGTACCCATAGAGACTTAGGTCTGTATTGCTTCTTTACTTTGCAAAATGAGGAAGCAAAGTCAACAAGACTTTCCTCCATATAATTTTACAGAGCTATTCTAATCAAATACTGTGCCAGTGGAATTCAAGAGCAAGATTTTGAATCATAGTGTTACTCGTGTTTTCAAAAGACACAAATCCCTCCAACTGCTACAGTAGTATGAAGGATCATAAATTACAAAAAACGTTTGGCTTGCAACCAAACATTCCTGTGCAGATCCCAAGAGACCCTAAGGGATCACCTAGTCTAGCAGTTCTTATGAAATTTTCGAATACTCAGGAGAAAAATTAGGTTTTTGGCTAGCAGATGAGTCTGCTAACCCCAGAAGAGGAAGAGTTAGTGAAGACCACTAGCGAAAACCACAAATATCCAAGGTTATCTTGAAGAGCAAGAGACCACATAAGGAATTGAGCAATGGAAAGACTTAACAGGACACGTTCAGAAAAAAATATCTGCCTTTCATGTCAATGTTTTTGAAGAGAGTCCTTATTCCCTGAATGAGAATATTCCCTGAATCTCCATTACTGCCGCAAGTCTGATGGATGAGGATAAAGCATAAGACAAATTATCAAACTATACATTGCAGATTTTCAAAATGCAAGATCTAAGGGTCCTGTCTGGAGTTAGAACGTAAGTATAAGGTTCTTTTAAAACAATCTGCATGCAAAATAATTTTATTGGGGCAATTACATTAAATATTTTATTTTAAATTTAAGATCCAACACAAACAGCCCCACGTACACTCCCAAGAGAGCCCAAATCTGTATTTCAAAGGCCCAAAGACTGCTACCACTTGAACTACAAGAGTAAGCATTTCCCTTCCAACACATAGCAGTCGAACAAAGACTGTGCACAGAAACACATCAGTGAAGCACTCTATTCAAGAATCCAGAGGTCTATTCTGAACATGTTAAGGAAGCACCACTCTAACAACAGATCATTGGCAGGCTTTACAGTGCAAGCAGAACAGAAAACTGCTTGCAGCCAACACACAGAACATCTTAGAAAGTGGTGGTTGGGTTTTGGTTTGGGTTTTTTTTGGGGGGGGGAGGGGGAACAGAAAACAACTTGCCATTTAAGATATTATATACCAGTGAAAAATACTAAGCTTTATTAGTTTTAATCTGCAGCTTCCTAAACCATGAGTAATATACTGGAGAAACCTATGAATTAGCAAGACAGTGGTGAATTAACTCAAGTTTGTAAGTGTTGCTTTAGCTGCTTCTTGCCTTTCTACAAAAAAAAAATATTTCTATCTATATTTTTGCTGTTTTGCACAATTCTAAGAGAAAAAAAACCCATACTTCCTATCCTAGGAATCAAATTTCCCCCTCCCTCACTAAAACTGTTCATGTAATCTAAAACATTTTTTTAAAAGATCCTTTGTTTACATTTTTGTTGTCTATGCATCAGAAAAATTTGGGAAAACTGTGGAAGTTGAGATCTGCAAAACAGTAGAAAAAGACAACTAAAGATTCATACCTTAAATTCAGAAACACTGGCCATCTTTCACAGTACAGCACCTCACTACCCCAAACATCATTACCTCCTTCACCAGCATCTCCTGTGAGACAGTGCCAGACCTACACTTTACCTCAGTGTAGCATCTTATCTGACTCAGACTCTGAAGTCTTTATGAACATCTTAAATCATTTCCTAGCTGTACTTTTGCACTTGCACAATTGTCTTACAAGATCTCTGCATTCTTAATTTCTGTAGACCAAAACACCACTGTGGGATTCTGTCTGTATTTTAGAAGCAGTATTTCACACTGTTTTCACCTGCTCTTTTATAAAGCCTGCCTCAGTTGTCACCCAGACTTTTGGATGCCTGTGAACCTAACTATGTTTTCATCTCAAAGTATCTGGATTTTTCCCTGGAACTGTCAATAATTGAAAACATTCTCAGATCTTTCCCAGGTCTAGATTTTCCTGGGTTTCAAAATGTGAATAAAGGTCTACCTTGCAATATGAAAATCAAGTGGAAAAAACCCAAGGAATAGTTCAAATCATTTAGACTTCCCCCTTCACTTTTAAGAATAATACCCAGAAGAATCTACAGTAATCTCCTGCAACAGCTTGTCTACTGAAGTTATATGGTTTTGGTCTTCTAAAGAGTTGTAATTTTAAATGCAGCAAAATTTACAGTAGCTAAAGCTTTTACATATTTCACAGCATAGTAGGCCTCTTCACACATGGCCCAGGAAGGGTCTACCTAAAAAGACTTCAGATACAAGGATAGCAACAACTTTTACTACTCAAAACCAGAGCACTCAGGTTCTCAGTGTATCCCTACTACAAACTGTAGACATAATGTCAATTGTTTAGTACACAGCAGGGAGGAGTAGAAAAAGAAAGTAATACACAGAGGTGGATTTGAAGTGGAACATGCCAACACAGAATGAATCCTGTTGGAAATACTAATTTTGAAATTAGTTAGTACTGAGCATTCTTGCAAAACAAAGTTGAGGAGGTTAGCTGTTGAGCCTCAGCCACTGCAATGTCCATACTGTTCCAATACTTAACGGCTACCAGTTTTGCTCAGTTGTTCTGGCTTTCCACAGCTAACTTTCATTTTCAGTGTTCATAGTATTTTCTTTCTCTCTACCTCACTGCGGCTTATTAAATAACTTCAGAGATCAGAGTGCTTTAAGATGCCAAATAGGGGCTCATGTCATAACAAGAGAGCATTTCCACATATAAAGACATATTTCAACCAACATATATCTATCACGTACACACATCCATTTGTATACATGGAAGTTCAAAGTATAATCCAACTTCTTTTAAATTTTATTTAAGTAAGGATCAATTATAATTATAAACCTTTGCTCACGTGCCTGGTTGTGAGTCACATAGAAAATAAAGGAAGCAGAGAGAGAAAGGAATTAAGGTAACAGAGAAACTGAGAGCACTGAGAAAATCAAGAGTGAGTGGCTACCACACAGTCTTTTAAACAAAGACAAATAACACTAACGCACTAGCAAAGTGAATAATAAAGACCCCTAAAGTAAGCCTTCTCCACCAATACACAAAATGAGGGGGAAAAAGAGCAGCAGAGATACATCTTTTCCCATGTTATATCAGATATTTGACAGGCATGCTTTGTTCACATGTATCATATAAAGGGATAGGTTTAAAACTAAATACATACTTTAACTTGTTATTACAAGAACCCTGTCTAGAAAATTAACACTTTTATCCTATCACAAGTCCATAATGATTCATAAGCAACCTTAAATCCTTACAAAGGAAGATTTATTTTGCTCTGTCCACCTCTATGACAAATCCATAGTTTAGCTTTCTTTACATTAAACCCACATATCTGCAAGATTTGCCGAAAAAGGCATATTTAACTGAACAACTTTCCCAAATACTATCCTCATATTTGACGTTTACCAGTATCATACAATAATCTAGACACAAAGTATACTTGAACAGAACTAACTGTAAGTTATAGTAACTACACTGTTAAAAAGATAATTAGTCTGAAACAGGCAGTGGAAGCATTACACTACAAAAAGGTTTATTAGCAGAGGAGTAAAATGTATGTATAAAATAAGCTACTGAAACACAATCCTGGCTCAATGAACTAAAGAATAACAATAACTTGCACTAATTGGTATTCTTTTCAGGCAAACATCATATTCACATACAAGTTTGAGATGTAATAAAAACCCCAGTGAGTAAACATCATTATGATCACTGCAGAAACGACAAAAAGCTTCACTTTGAATGGTAACACTAGGGTAACTGTAAACAGGGGCAGAGATGTCCTTCGTGATCTGTCCTTCCGTTCGGACCAGTTACCTGCAGCTTCATTTATTTAATCCTAACATATGTTTTTGTTTACAAACACTGCAAAAAGGTTCAAAATCAAAGGTCCAAAATTGAAGAATCTGGAGGAAGAGGAGGGTGAGAAGCGAAGTGGTTATTCACTTAAGAGTTTAGGAAAAATATTTTACCTTTTAGGCATCTTTCCTTGTGCTAGCCTTACTGGCACAGGCCAGTTTTATGTACAACGTAATCTGAAGAAACAGTATGAAAAACAAGAATACACACTCATATTTGAATACGTTGCTACACCAACCTCCTACAAAGAGGAGTTCTCAGCAAGTTTATTAGCTTCTTGCACAGGCATACATGTGACATTTTGTATGACTAAGTCGTTTCAAGAATTAGGGGTTTAAGATTAAAATGCATCCATTTAGAATGAAATTATATAACCGGTGTTAACAAAGGAGTACGTAAAAAAAACTAGTAAAAAAACACAGCTAAACACACTTCATCTCTTACTCATCCACTTTACAAAAACTAGAAGAATATTTTTTTATGTCAGCCTCCTAAAGAAGGGTAAATGAGTAACTCCCCCTATTTAACACAAGGGAAGTGAAAAAATAACTTACCTTTAACACTTTTTCTGTTAACATCGGCTCCTTTTTCAAGTAAATACTGAGCAATTTCTTTGTGGCCTTTGTAACACGAGATCATCAAGCATGTATGCCCATGACGGTTTGATACTTCCAGGTCTGCTTTGTGCTCCACAAGATATTTCACTATTTCCAGGTGGCCATCAAAACAGGCAGCTCTAAGAGGTGTTGAATTTGTCAGAGTTGTATTGTTGACAGATGCACCACGATCTAACAGACACTGAACCACCTTCAAGTGGCCTGCCGCCGATGCTGCCCATAATGGCGGAGCCCCCTCAATAGTCTCACCATCAAAATTCACAGAACCACCAACTTCTATTGACGCAGAGCAATGGTCCAACAAGTATTCCACCATGTCAAGGTGACCATAACGAGCAGCCATCAGAAGTGGTGTGGCACCATTGGTTTTCTCTGACATAAGTAGGGCTACCTCTTCCCTTGTTTTGCTTGCCAGTAACTTGGAAAGAAGCCGCAGCTTGCCATCACGAGCTGCATTGAACACCGCTGTCTTTAGATCCATTTAGTCTGTACCTCTCTTCTTCTGGAAGGATGCACACCTGCCTTTTTCAGAGTCAAAAGCTTACGGGAAACGCACAGCCCAAACACAATCTCCCCAGCTTCTTCTCAGATCAGTTTGATCTACATGAGAAAGCATGGAGACTCTGAACAGGGTCCTGACAAAGCACAAGCCGTGCTTGTTATAAACCTGCAAGAGAACGAATTCTGGATGTTTTTAGCTCCTACTTTGCAAACAAGAAACTGCAATTGTATTTTTCTGCAGCTATACCCAAACAACTCGCTGCTGTCGTGCACTGACGTCCCGCCGCCTTCCCCAGGACTCTCCCAGGCTGCGCAGTGCCCCCTGAGAAAAGATGCTGGGGAGCAAGGGGTTGATCCTACCAGTGTGTTATCCATACCAGCCGCATAAAAATCCTCTTCCCCCTTACCCTACCCCCGACTTGTCCTAGGTGTAGCTTAAGGAAAGAGTACCCCTCGCTCCCCTAAGGAGCCCGAAAACACGCAGCCCACAGGGAAAAGGGAAGACGACGCACGCCCCGGCCGCCACGCTCTGACCAAGTCTCAGGCGGTGAGGAGAGCCTGAGACTGCCCTTTCCCTCACGATCACATTCAGTCCGCCCAGAGGCCCGCCGCCCCTCCTCAAAGCGAGCCCCCTCCTCCACCCTCCTTCTCCTCAGGGCCCCAAAACCGCTCCAGGCTCCCTCACGGCCCGTCCCGGCCTGCTCACCCGCCCGAAGCCGGCCAGAAAGGGCCACTGGGCTACAGGTTACCTTCCCGAGGTTCTATCAGATACCTACCGCCGCAGCCGGCCTCACAGGAGAGCGCC